AGAATAACGGTAAGGATAAGGGGCATGGGAGAGGAAAAAAAAAAAAAAAAAAAAAGTGGTTGAAAAAGAAGTCAAGAAATCAATGGGAGCAGGAGGAAAAAGAACCTAAAGAAAGGTGAGAGTGTATCTGCAGCTGGACAGCATCTGGAGCCCTTTTGAGGGAACACCCCACATCTCACAGCCTCACCAGCACCTCCATGCATTAAAAGGAGCTGTAAGTCTCCAACTGCATCTGAACCTCTTTGGGTGAAATGCTTTGCCTTTCTGCCAGCTCTGCTACCTGAAATAAAGTACATCTTCATGACTTCAGCAAGTCGTGAAGCTGTTCCTTACTGAGACAGATTTATTGGAGTAATATCTGGGGTTGGTTTGTTTTTATTTAAAAGGACAGTTTTTTTCTCACAGCCAAGCCAGAGAACGTGGCAGGGACCAGCAACACCACCTAGCATGCTGCAGCAGAGGGAGCCACAGAATCACCTTCCTCCTCACTTAACATGTCTCAAGGAAGTCAACACTCACTTACTTGGTTAGAAAATGATCTATAGAAAGAAAAATGTGTGCTCAGGCCTTCCCCATCGCTGCACTTTGCTTTTTCACCAATTATGAAATCAGAACCGTCCAATTAGGAACATAATCAAAGAGAAAGACGGTGCACACAACCCCACTGTTCTGTTATGGGTCACTCTGTCTCATCTAACAGGTTAAATAGGTCTTAAACTACTTTCCAGCAATGCTGTGCTTACAGAAATACGCATTCTGCCTGTCTCCTGCAGTTACCAAAGCACTGAAGAAAAAGCACTAATTACAAGAGTATGTAATGTGCTTTATATTGGTCTCAGGATAGCGATGTTTATTTGTTTGTTTGCTTGTTTAATCTCTTATCTTTCATTAAGATGATATTCTGCTTGCTAGGACACTGGATACCTCCATGTGCTTCACACAGTAAGATAATGAAATAAATAACCTAATTAGAGAAATAGTTTCTGATGACACTGGTATCATTTTAAAGTTTTTACTAGCTTTATGCTGTACTTCTTTTACAATAAATTACTGTTAGAAAGCCATTACAACTTTGAGATCCTTTTCTATAGGAAAAAAAAATCTAATAATTCTAACAAAATTCTATGAATTATTCTTTCTTATACCCTCCTACATAATGTTTTCAGACTACAGGAATACAGAATCTGGCTAGCATGATTTCTTACTACTTGGCCTTTCCCAGAGCAGTTGCTATGTTAAAACATAATAGTATGTTGTAATATTTTAGCTTTCATAACCTATTAGGTCATTTGCGTAACTGTACAAAGCTCTAATACAAGATCATTTCTTAGAAAAATTCCAAGTCTACACATTATTGTAAAGCCATAAGCTGGTTTCTCTCCTTGTTATGGTTGGCAGCATTTTTTAAACCTGCCAGTAAGTACACTTAGTAGTGAGTTCTTACTAAATGTTTTTAATTTTTGCCATGCTGAAATTGCCTTTCTCTCGGCCTGCACATTTTGGCACTCTTAGCTTTTTGTCCCTCTTTACCTAGTCTTATTGCTCTTGGTGAAATGCAGCCCAGTTCATATTTGTACTGTTCAATCTATCTCTAAAATTGTGTGTTAAATAAGAGTTCCCCTGCCAACAACAACAACAACAAAGCAGTTTTATAAAGTAAAAGTTGGATGATTATTCATTTTGAAGTATAGAGGAAGGTAACAGGAAAAAAATGAAGCTAGGAGAAATTCTCTCCGACTGATGAATGATTTTTCTTAGGTTTGCTAAGTAGCACATTAACATTGCATAGGCATTATTAAATTCTTAAGAGTACATCACTGCCATGTAAATTTCCTTGAGGCATGTGGTTAGATCACTAAGCATTTGCATTTGTCTTTTGAAAGAGTGATTCATACATAGCTGATCATGATTTCACATCAGATATACACTCTGTGCACCCCCCTATCCTCCCTGATGTTTTGGTCATGTTAGGAATGTTTTAACAATTCATGTCAATAAAGAACAGTCCTGTCTGCCTCTGGGTCCTGCACTGGCAATTTAATTCTTGAACCACAGATGCAGTGTGTCCCAGTCTCCCCCTCATTCTAGTCAATTTATCAAGTCTTCAGAAAATACTCCTCAAATTTATGAACCTGTTTGCTTTTGTTATTCCGAACTTCTATTTCTAACAGTTACAGCCTTTTTTTTTTGTTTCTTCGAGATTAATTTAACACTGCTATAGGTGTGACTGTCCCTGTGAATGGCTAGTGAGGAATGTTTTAATTGCTGGTGAAGTGTCAATAAGAAAGCTATTTGTGTTTGTATGAAGACTTTGATGTCTGAGGGTTTCAGAACAACTGATAACAACTAGTGACTGTTATGGGATACCATGCAAGCCTCTGATATCTGGCCAGGTGGCCAAGAGATTAAGAAGAAGAAAAAGAAGCTGAAGGACGGCTAGGAGACAAGACCTGCAGGGGATGCTGTATAAACTTGACACGGTGCCAAGGAGTACAAAGGGGAAGGACAAGAAAAAAATTTGGAGGGGAAGACTACGAGCCTTCAGCATGAAAGACCCCTAGAGACCCCCAGAGGGACCACCGGAGACTGATGCGCATGCTCCAGTAGGAGGGACTGGACCCCGGAAGCTAATTATAATAACCTGGTTTTTTTTAGAAGTAGTAATGAATATGTATTAGTCTAGGAGTATAAAAATCAGCTACTTGATGTGGCTGGTGTGCGTCCTGGTGGAGCGGAGACTCCCAGTGCACCCAGCGCTGTTTGCTTACCTCTATTCTTTTAATAAATCCTATTTTTTATTTAATCCTAATTTGAAGACTGAGCCATTTCTAACAGTCATAATCTTACTAACAGGTTATAAGTAGAAGTTATCCAAAGATGAATGTGATAAGAGGCATATGCAGAAATAACACTCCAGCCCTTACAGATATAACAACCACAAACAAGGTCTCACACAACACAATTCTGCTTTTAAGAAGATTGATATCTAAAAGAGGATTACTGCAAATTACCAGGTTAGATTCTAGTTTACATCAGCCTAATAGTATGGAAACAGCGTGATGGATATGTCAGTACGTAAGTGAGAAAAAAACAGTTTGAAAATCTGATTTTATATAGTTTAGAGAGGAAGAAGTGTGAATTACCCTCAGAAGACTTATCTGCGTATTTGATTCATTCTCTGTGCATTAATTACAATATTCTACTTTCATACGCAGTCAAGTAATGGGATACATGATACCATAGCATATACAATTTTGTTTAAAGCTGCAAATGGAGAGATTTAAACATAAAAGTAACTAAAGCTTTCCATGCGAATAAATCATTTGCTGGTAATGCAATTTGAAATCAACTGGAACTCCTTGCAAATTCATACGTGAATTTAATCAGTAATTTTCAGCCTCAAATATAGAAAAATCCCTTAATGTGTGAAACAGATTGTTTTAATGTAATATTTCATAAAGAGAAGTACCATTTTTCCATTTTAAATTAAGGTTATATTTCAAAATCAAGTTATTATTTAATATTTAAAATGGTGTGAAAGTATGTGAAAATCTAATGAAATAATAATACTGGATTTCAAAGTAGTTCAGTTTGACCTAACAATCATTGTTATTTTCTATTTTGATCATGATGAAACCACAGACTTTTCTTTTGAGTAGGACTAAAACAATTGGCTTTTAAAAATCAAGTATTTTTACTTCCTGCAGAGAAGGACTTGGGGGTTCTGGTGGATGAAAAGCTCGACACGAGCCAGCAGTGTGTGCTTGCAGCCCTGAAGGCCAACTGCGTCCTGGGCTGCATCAACAGAGGGGTGGGCAGCAGGTGGAGGGAGGGGATTGTGCCCCTCTGCTCTGACCTCGTGAGGCCCTGCTTGGAGTGCTGCATCCAGGTCTGGGGACCCCAGAACAACAAACACATGGACCTTTAGAGCAGGTCTAGACAAGAGCCATGAAGATGATCACAGGGCTGAAGCACCTATGAAGAGCATTCCTCCTGCGAAGGAAGGCTGAGAGAACTGGGGATGTTCAGCCTGGAGAAGAGAAGTCTTCAGAAAGACATTATTACAGCCTTTCAGTACATAAAGGGGGCTCAGAAAACAAGATGGAGAACTACTTTTCACAAGGGCAAATAGTGATAGAACAAGGAGGAACAGCTCCAGCTGAATGGAGCTATAGTTTAGGAAGGAAGCATTGGTCTGGCAAAAGGAGTAAGGTGTTTCTTAGAGCTTTAAATGTCAACAAAACAAAACAAAACAAAACAACAACAAAAAGCAAACAAACATAAACCCCAAACCCTAAAACTGAATAACATCTGGAGACTCGACTCACTAGCAGACTGTGCAGCATAAATCACTGTCAAAAACTCCTCCGGAACAGGTCTTCATGCATAACCAAACAGCTGCATTTTGCATTCACTTCGTCTTCTAAGTGTCCTTTAAAATATGTATTGCTGTAGATCTTTGTTGCTCCACTGATAAACAGGTACAGATGGTTTGTGCAGAACAACAGCCGGTTTCTCCCTCATTTCATGTTTTTCTTCTAACTTTTCACAAAATGGAATGGTTTGGGTTGGAAGGGACCTTAAAGAGCATCTAGTTTCAGCCCCCCTGCCATGGGCAGGGACATCTCCCACCAGAATAAGTTGCTCAAACCCCATCCAACCTGGCCTTGAACACCTCCAGGGATGGGACATCCACAACTTCTCTGTTCCAGTGCCTCACTACCCTCATTGTAAAGATTTTTTTCCAAATATTGAATCTAAACCTACCCTCTTTTAGTTTAAAACTTGTTTTTTTTTTTTTTTTTTTCCTTGAACTCCTTCAGGGTGTTCTTCTTTTCCTGTTCTTCCAAACTGATGCAATGTTTCTCCATTTTTTACAGTTTTTATGAGTCACATTCTCCTCTGAGTTACAGTAGTAAAAAACCTAGTGTCATTGGATTTACACAAAATTAGCTGGTCAGAAGTGCTCTCCTGGCACCTGAGCTGGGCTACTGGGATTGCTTTCAGCAGCTACCATCCATCCTCGGAGGGATGCTACTGCCCCTGCAGTATTTCTGACCTCAGCTGTTGGCAGGGCAACACACTGAATGATTCAGTAAAGCCAAGTACCTCAGCTAACACAGCGCAAATCTGCATGCCTGGTTATGCCCACGGATCTTGGAGAGGCCGTAACATTGAGGGGGAGGAGGAGGTGAGCAGCTTCAACAGCTCCAATCGGAGCTGCAGCAGAGAATCAGGGTAAGGCCTGTGTTGCTGTTTCTCTTCTTTTTACATTTACTGTTTGTCAATTTATTTCCTTTCTCCTCTTCCAGCTTCTTTTCTTCAGAAATAGTAGCCATAAAAATAGGGTTAATGAGAAAGAAGTAAAAATAAATAGAAATGAACAAACATACATGTTTAATTCTGTTCATAGTTGTAAGTCGAGATGCTTTATCATGCCTACTTTTTTCAATTTTATTTTCTTTTCACTCCCCGTTAAGTTTTTCTTTATTCTGCTGGCCAATTGGATACCAAAGGTCACATTAAGTGCAGCATGAGATAAAGACCACAGTCAGTTAAATGTCATGGTTACTTCTAGTAAATCAGTAATGGGCATATTTTTAGTCCCTTGAGAATACACTGTCAGATCACAAATGTTCAAACCAACTACTGTTAGCTCATTAGCAGCCAAGCAATTAAAACAGCTTTGCCCAAAGAGGAAAGAAATCTAAAAGCCTTCATTAATGGCAAAACCACTTAAATGATAACAGATGAAAATAGTAACAAATATCAAAAGGCCAGATGATGGCTCCAGTTACAGCTCATAAATGAGTTTAAAAGATGGAAATGAGCCAATTCTATAAACTGAGAGTAAAGCAGGCTGATAACATGATGGCTCAAAGGAATCAATAGGCTTTATTAATTCTATTTTTTCTGCAGAGTTACAGCTATTTTCTGCTTCTGGCTCTAACTACATAATTGTTAATCACAGCTTCCTGACAGATTCAGCTCTTTCCCTTATCCCCATGTGTACTTCCAGGGGTCCTTACACAGAAAAATAGTAGTTTATCAGGCTGCGCAACACTCATGAACTTTCAACACTACGCAGCATTAGCTTGAGTTTTTACATCTCCTTATTAGACAGCATTTGCAGCCCAGGGTGGCTAGAAAAAGAGGATTCAGAGCCCATAGGTATGGCCAACAAGCCTTCCATTGCTCCATACTCAGTAGCCTTTTGTCATAGTCCTACATGCTCAGTGGAAGTAGCAATGGAAAACAGGAACTTTTTAATTTAAGAGAGGAGGCAAGAGCAGCAGTAGAACCTGTAATAGATTCATTAATTTGCAGGGCACATTGACTTAGTGAGTTGGCAGGACTTGCCACAGTTATCTGATCCTGAATTTTCATTGTTTTTGCATGCCTGGCTGTCACTAGCTTTGCTGGGATCCTGGCTTCAGGGATAAATACCAAATGAAAATGTATTCTGGAGTTCACACTCTTTAGGGCACATTTCACACTCCCAGGCATATCACATTGCATCAATTTCATATTTTAAAGAGTTTCTTCTTCCTTTAAAGCTATTTGTAAAGGCAAGGAGCTTACCATATCTGGATTCTGATAGAATCATATGATACTGTGAGCTGAAGCCCAAAATAAGTGTATTATATAGCCTTGCCCATAAAATTACTGAAGGATTTACAGTATTCCCTAAATGTTCCCACAGAGAAACAGCAGTACTAGTACAGGAGCTAACATTATTGTAAGCCATTTAAACAATACAGGGATTACAAAACTGGGTAAAATCTGCCATGTGCATTGCACCGTGTCAGCTCAAATGCTGCTGAAAGATTTCTGTCCCAGGAATCCCAGACTGGCAATCGGGGGATGGCTGCTTCCTCACAGGAGACATGTTGTAGGAATCTGGTAGGCTATTGTCCTTTCACGCTCTGTGACGGTAATGGGCAAGAAGAGCAGGAAGAATCATGCAATTACAGAAAATATAAACCTTGCTTTGCAGCATAGCTATGGAGACTTTCCCTGCAGAGATCCCACATGTCTCAGGAGTTCAAGCTACCTGGCATGATCAGTGAAGCAAGAGATCAAAGGTTTCTAGGAACAAAATAACCACTCTACTTTCTTTTAGCATGACACCGACAAATGCTATCTTGCTTCAAGGAAAAACTGTCTTACACCCACCAAAACTATATCATTTGTTTATTTATTATGGTAAAAGGACTCACCTGCTCGTTCAGGTTCAAACCAGGTATTAATGCATGCTGACAGTCTGACAGCCGAAGTGTGTTCAGATTCTTCAACTATAAACTTTATTTTACGTGGCGTTGTTCAAAGCAACCAGTTTAATTATCGCTGGGATGTAGGTTAAAGAACTTTTAAGGGATAATATATCAACCACAATAAGGACTCTTCATCAGCTAACAAAAAAAATATCAACTGTATGGGTAGGGAAAGTAATTATTTCTAATATTTTGCAGAAAAGAACAGCTCGAGTCCTCTTAGTACTTCACATTTGTAGAATAATCTTTGAAGTAACAATTTCCATTTATAGTAAATCTCTGACACTTCTTTCTATTTTGTTATCTACTAAGAAGGCATTACTATATAGGTCTTACAAGAGTTTAATTCATAATAGTGGTCAAGATATGCAGCTCTACTTTTGCAAAAATAATTTGGAGACAGAGTTGGTATGCAATCCATGTGTCAGAGCAAGCAAATAAATGTAAGTAACACAAAAATTACTTACCCAATGAGCCCAACCACATACTTAAAGGTTGCATTTTATATTAGGACATTTTTGGAACTAGTGGTTTTAGAGGTTAGATTCTGTCTTCAAGTAGCTTTCACTAGACAGAAGGAATTCCTCACTGGTTGGATTTGCTAGGCCCAGCTCATACTCCCTGAGCAGAATTTGCATAGCACCATAATAAATACTGGGAAAGAAAAAGAAAAGAAGGGAGCACCAGCAAATAACAAATTTAAAAATGGTCCCTGAGATTTATTAAGAAGAATTGTTAGACAAAGAAAACATGATTGCATGAATCTGATATCAACTCTGAATTGCGTTTAGTGAAATCAGTTGTTTAGAAGCTTGCAATACCTTCTCAGTTAGCTGCCACAGGCATTCTACTAAGTTTGAGTTCATAAATAACTTACAAGAGTTAGTCTCCCTCTTGCCAAAAATTCAAATTCAAATTCAAAAATTACAGAAATATTCTGGTAGTTTCTAGTGGTGGAAAGCTCTTCACTTTCTGAAACGTGTTCTGTGGTCATGAATATGTGCTGTAATTTTCTGACCATCAGCATTACATTTGCTTGTCTTGCCCAGCTGTGTCTGTAAATAGATTGAGATTCAGGGGATTTTTCCCCTTGTAGTCAGTTTATTTCCAGAGGCACTGGTGAAAAAAATAAAATTAATAAAAAAAATAAAAGAAAAGAAGTATTAAGATCTAGGTTATAAGACCCAAGTAGGGAACAACAACCATGATGCCTTTCCCTTAGTCTTTTTTGTAGCATTTCCAGTGTTAGAGCTGGAACTTGGGCAAGCAAAGGAGAAAATTGATTTTGAAATACAGTAGGAAATGGCACAAAGCCCTTTAAACACAAAACATAAAAATAACAACATAATATTATTAAAATTCTATGTAATATACATATAAATAAATATATAAATAAAATATATAAAAATATATACTATATAATATATAAACAAAAATATATAAAAATAAAAGATTTTTATTATTCCAAGAGACAAGCAAAACTACCAAAGTCCTACAAGTCCTGCACACCCACACAGCTTTCTGCTCTCAGGAGTATGGTAGCTACCTATACCTTGCTCTGGCATGGGGCTTGGAAGTGGCCAGATACAGGAGATCTGCAGTGATCTGTGATATGACAGTTACATATTGCACTCTGGTAACAGTGAGCATTCTTTGGAACAACTTTTATCTTGCTGCAATAAGCCTTGTGATTTTCAGAGAAATATAGTTTAACTTCACCCAATGAATTTCTTTTCCCGTAAATTGTCATGGAGCGAAGTTAGATTTTTCCCCTGATTCTTAGTGTTCTCATGTTTCTCACTCTGATTATTTCAGGTGTTTCCAGTACTATAAAATTTAAAACAAGAGTAACTTTACTGTTGGTCTAAGAGAATGAGCTAGGGCAATAAGGAGAAAAAACACATTTTATCAGCTAGACATGGAAAACCAGAAAATCTTTCAAGCAGTTAAAAATGGCTGAGTGTTTTAATGAAATAACACATTAGGCCTCCCATGAGAACATAGGATTACCTGATATCCAGTTGTGTTTTCAGTCACTCATGAATTTAAAAAAACAGCATAACATGGCTTTGAGCAGTCCCAACACAGTCAGTAACCCCTGTGGTCTCGAATGTTCATTTTCCACTGCAGGATGATTATGAAACTTTTTACTCCTCAGTTTTCCATCACTCATTACCTGACATTCTTTACCTATGGTTCTATCTTCTTTACCCGATCTTCTTTCTCCTATAAAATAAGCAGAGCCCTTATGTATGACTTGCCTCTATTTCTTAAATTCCATGTAGTAAATGCATACTTTAGTGTGTAAGTAAATTATTACGAAATATTATTTCAGCTTTACATTTTAAAAACAATGCTCATAAGTGTGTTCACTTTATTGCTTTGTTTCTCTTCCATTTATTCTCTCCTCACCTCTCAGATCAGTGGCTTTTCTTGGAATGGCTTGTCTGCCTGTCATACAGTGTAACTTAGTGTACCACTGCCTTTCAGCAACCTCAGACATTTATATTTGAAAAAAATCATGAACTCTCAGAGTACAGAATGGCTTTCAGCAAGAGAAATGTCACTGGAAAGTGAAGATTTTATCTACAAATGAGATGCAATACCAATTTAAATGTCTCTTGCACTCTCATACACATTGTGCCTCAGTCCTGACCTACAGATGGCAATTTGCAGCTAGTTGCATGATAACTTTCAATTTTCCCATGGCATCTCATGGTCTGTGCTAGGAACCATCAGTCTCTACCTTTACAAGGGACAATGGCTCTTGGACACCAGGCTTTCAACTAGAGCAATATGGTACTTTGAACTTCTGCCTTTCCTACCCATTCAAATTAATTCCCTTATCAATTAACGGCATGTCCATTAATCAACAAAAGACACAGGATTAAAAAAAAAAAAAAAAAAGGTTATTTTTTCCTCCTGCTTTTTTGTGACCATGTTCATTTTTGTTACATTTGAAGACTCTGGACATTACAATGAAGTGTTGAGGTACTAATGACAGGCAGAGAATTGCAGCCTGTCTTTTCACAGGGTTACTGTTTCATTTCAGTTTGAGCTCAGCATATTATAGCTAAGACTTGAAACTATTACAGGTGAAAAAGGACTTTTTGAGGCAGACTGTTCAAAATTTTTGAGCTTTGAGAAAAATGGGATTGATATACTACAGCCACGTTACGTGTTTTTGCAATATAAAATTGTCCATGTGTGATGACTGGGTATATGAGGTAATAGGTGTCTGCAGTACTTCACAAGGGATTTTAAAAACATCAGTTAAAGCCCTGAGGTTCTCTCAGTCTGATTCCACAGCCAACATGCAGAGTTTTGCCATCTGTGGTGTCACAACAGCTATGATGAAAATGTTATAAACATAGTACAGATAATTACCAAAATAAATAGGTAGATGGACTTAATTATGCTGCTTCTCATAGCTGCAAAAGGAAACATACAACAATCCCCGACTTACATAAAGTCATTGACACAAAACTGGTTTTGGCTCTAGACTGAAAAATCGAGACTTTGATCATCCCTAATTTTTTTGACCAACCTTTGCCCAAGAACTTGTCTATCAAATGTAATTTTCTATAAGGATTTCACTCTGTTACACTGATAAAATTTTATTAAAGCAAGACAGTGACTCCCTGTAATTATTTGGATGGCAGGTAACATGAGCTTGTATGGGCATACATCTGGCTGGTGGCCAGTCACTAGCAGTGTTCCCCAGGGCTCAGTTCTAGCATTGCTTCTGCTCAACATCGTTATCAATCACCTGGATGCAGGAGCTGAATGCTTCCTTAGGAAGTTCACTGACTAGTAAACTGTGAGATGCTGCTTGCTCTGCTGAGGGATGAGGGGCCTTGTTGACAGATTAAGATATGTTCAGCGTGCTGCACCTACTAGTTGTCACACTCTTAGCCTGTATGTATTTGCTTTAAGACAAAAATTTCCTTGGTGGGAAGAATGGTTCTTTCTCCTTCATCATTTTTTCCAGGACTGAGCAGGATTCAGTGCAGAATCCACTAATAAGGATTTAATACATATCAAAGGAAGACCCACAGAAGGCGATTTCAGCAAATGCCTGCTGCAGTGCCTTCTGCTACCTTAATATGACCAAAGAGAGCTGAGTCAAGCAGGTTTTTGCCTTTTCTCCTGCTACCTGCCAAGATGTTTTTAGCAATATGCCTCTCAGTCCCTGCCAACTTCATTCTTAGTGAAATCCTAATAACTGCTGGCTCTTGCTCTGGATGGTGGTTTCTACTTTCAGGCTGATTCTGCTTGTCTGCTAAAGCCTGACTCCAGGGACATTCATCATGCTGTCTCAATGGCAGGTTGGCAGTGTTTTGAATACTTCTTGAACTTGATTCAGACAGAGCTTACCCATGGGACAGCTTAGGCTGCCAGCAAGGAGAATCCAGCATGCTTCATATACTGTGGGCCAGATCCCTCTTGGGTATTCATCTCCTGCACACTGAAAGCTTGCTGCTTTCCCCTGGGCGAACAAGTGGTAGGGCTATAGCCAAGGTGGAGGAAGAAGGTGTGCACTGTGCACCCACGAGGTGGGTATCAAGAGGAGGTATATATGTTGAAAAGTCTGTAATTCCTGCTGGTGCCTACTCAGCAGGCAGCCCACGTAGTAATGACAGTGAGGAAGTGGGAATAAATGGGAGCCAGGAGCAAGGAGAGGAAGAGAGGCAAGTGAGAGATGTGGAAGAGCTACATCTCCCCCACACTCTTTTTCTGCTCTAAATCTCATCTATTCTCCCATCTTCTTCCTGCAGGTAGAAGTAGGGTGAATATGGTGTACCCCGCCTGCACAGCCGAAACATGGCATAACTTTTTTCCCTTCCTTCTACCATGCACCCAAGTTCACTCCCAGATGGAGTTGAGGGACATGACTTGTTGGGTCAGGGAGCCTGAGGCAAAGGAACCTTCCTCAGGGTAGCCCTGTCTTTTATCCCAGCTGTTCCATGATGCCTGTGTGTTGTACATTGTTCAAGAAATGCAGCAGCTTGTAAATATAATAGGACTTGATAATTCTAGGACTACAGTTATTAGGTTAGCATATAGAAGTGATAACTATGGGCAGCTCAACTTTGTGTTAGTTAGGCCAACTGGCAATTGTGGGATCAGACAATATCAGATGAACAAGACAGAGACCCAGGGCTTTCATGGCCAAAATGCTAGGAAAAACAACCTGGGTACAAAACAGCCAGCAAATATGCATTTTATCTTACTAAAGTTGAGACAATATGTTACAATCATATCCAAATGTCATTTATAGTTTGAGCTATTTTATAGCCGCAGCTATAATAACGAGAGGACTGGCACTCTGGCCATACCCCTCTGGCCCTGAACCCATGCTGATGTGGAACTGTCTGCCCACAAATTTCCAAACACTACTTGAAATGCAGAACTTAGCTAAGGCAAAACTGTGTCAAAATAGGTTCTTTCCTTGTTAGCATTTCTTTCATATAATCTGCACTCTTGATTTTGTGTATCTGCCTTTCTTCTTCTTCTTTTTTTTTTTTTTACATTTGTTTTTATTTTCTTTTTGTATTCACAGAGTCAGAATTTACATATACCAGTGTAACATGACTGCCAATGTCACATCTGTTTTGCACTGTTCTTTATTTACCCATTCTGCTGCATAATTAGACAGTAGAGTACATTTTTTTACCTGTTGCCATGAAAAAAAAATCATCTTTTGAAATAAGTCTCTGAACTCTTTATTTTTTCCTGCTTGGAGCTGGAATTACACATAGAGACTGGCGGAGGGCTCTGCTGGCTCCTGAGCTAATACAGACAATGAAGGCCAAGTAGAGCAAAACAGATGGGCTTCAAGGGGTGGGAAAGTACCCAGTCCATCAGCCTATTTAACACTTGGAAGCTTAGGATGGCATTTATTTCAGTTAATTTTTTAATTCTGCTAGGCTTTCAGTGAATTAGTGCTGCTTTCCTGTGCCCAGGAGACTCTTTCTGTTAGTGTGCTTCATATCTTTAATTAAAAGACTACTCAGAAGTGCCTTACTGACTTTTTCCCACCCAGGGCTGCCATATGCTTCCCCTCTTTGCTTATTTAATCCATGCTACAGGCACTTAAAGAGTGTGTCAGTGCTAAAGGAAATGCGTCTCTCCTTTGAGGACCTTAGCTAATATCTAAGGATTAAACCATACCTTGTCATTTCCTGGGACCCGCTGACTTGTTGGATCTCACAAAGTCCTCAGCAGCTGTAACTTCCCACTGCTGAGCCACTAGCAGCCATGAATCTTGCTGGGATTATATCTCACTGAGTGGATCTTCCCAAGCTGTACCTGTTAATCAAATAAGACCCAGAAGCAAACTTCAATAAAGGCTACTTGCAAAAAGAGCACTAAATCCTCTCTAACAGTCTGTAATCCTTATGTTTCTGGATTGTGTTTTCCTTGCCAAAATACCCATAGCTTTAGTGTTATGACTCTGGTACCATTCTATGATTCTGGCTTCTGGGTTATGTACAGAGATGTGGTAAGTATATTGTCTGTGCCATCCATCAGATGTTGCTGCTAGCTATGAGGCTTTTGCCTACCAGTACATATGTTCATTGAGCTTATAAGAAAAGTACTTATCACTTTCACACTGTTCTCTGCTGTTTTATAGTTTTTATCAGCATCTTTCTGTACTAAGTTCTTTCTTTAGTCTTTTATCTGGGAAGACTGTTTTGACAATCTACAGGGCTTGGATTTGCTTTCGTTGTACAGTGCCATGTCTTCTTGGCTGACAATCCCTGCAAACCCATGGACATGTTACTTGGATGGAGAGGTGGGTCCAGGAGGATGTTCCAGATACCTCTTGCATTGCAAGGAAGCAATCTGTGTCAAAATGCTGTAGTATGCCACACTCCTTACCGTGCCATACTCCTTGCCTTGCCTGATAACTGGAGTTGTTCACAGGCTAAGGAGGAATGGAAATGTTACCTGCAAGAAATTAACTCACAGCATATAACCTCCCTTTTGTCAAAGGTATCAAACAGCAAGCCCTATGGCCAAAATAGGTGGTGGATTAAGGTGCCCTCAGATAGCACTTCCTTCTCAGTGCCCAAAGCTTTTGCACAGTTCACTTCCTCAATTTTGACGTTGATTGCTGTAATTTTACCTATTTCACAGTTTGATGTCTCATCTAGACAAACAGGCAAATCTGGAGCTCTGGAAAGACCTCAGGTGGCAAAGCTGGAAGTCTGAGTCACATATACAGTTAGGCAAAATAGGTCAGGGAAAATAAAAGAGGAGAAATGCAACAGTCAGTTTGGGATCTGTGATTGATTTACACAAGCAGAAAGAATGGTTTGTAGTCTCGCCCACAAGCGGGCTGCTTGTCCTTGACATTGAGTGACCACCCAGAGCTCCAGATTAAAGCTAGAGATGTTTCTAAGCGGATGGAGATCTTTCTGAGTCACTTGCTGGAACGAGGAGAGGCTGCCTGTGTCAAGCAAAGTCTCTTCGTCCCTGTGGCTGAAGATGCTGTACAAGATGTTTCTCTTTGCTCCACTGTCCAAGGAGTGGGTAATGGTCTTACTGAACCAGTCAATCACTTGGAGCAGTCCTGCCCTGGTGACACTGTGCTCTGTCTCTTCCTGGCGTGGCTGCAAAACTGTTTTTTCTTGCTTCCCCTCACCCAAATCCCCTTTGCCTCTAGTGGAGTCCTGTACATGGTTTCTGGCATGTTTATTTTGGTAATACCACACAGACTTCGCACATAACCTGCTTCCTGCATGCCCAGTTGGTTTCTTGTTGTTGTTGTTTTGCTTTGCTTTGTTTTGCTTGTTTTTCTTTAATCGGGTAATGCCAAACTGGTAATCCAAAAATTTTAAAGGGGAAAGTGGCAGGGCAGGAGGTTATGATGTGCTACAATTACTCAGTGGCTCAGTGTAGCTTTTGTAGCTGGGCTTCATTTCATTTTAAAATTGCTTTCCTCCATTAGTAAAGTTTTTCTTTCTTTTTTTTTTTTTTTAACGATGACTGATGTTTTTATTAGATTTTTTTTTTTTTTAAGTAGGGAAGGAATTTATTTAATTTCTCTATTGCTGTGTAAATGTCATAATGCATGGTATTTTACAAGTACTTCAGTAGGAAGGTTGATAGAAAAAAGGGGTCATTTTTATAATCATCTTCCAGATCAGTAAAGAGTGTATTGTCACTGACAAAAGAAGGAGGAAAAGCACCAAGCACAGAAGAATGAGTAATAAAAGCCTGTCTTCATGTCAAATAAAAACTAATTTTATATTATGTTATGTTTTTAAAACAACGCTTGACTGCCTGTAGTGCTTATTTCAGCAGAAAGTAACAGGAGTTTTGTAAACATATTTCTATCTAAATACTTGACTATGTAGGACCAAGCCACAAGAAATGCTGAAAAGTGTTGTGTTCCTATGACAGTTCAGAGAATTAAAAGGCACCAATCTCCTTTCAGAAACTGGACCTTAAACTCTCCCACATGCAAATTTAGTCCAATTAGAAAATTTCCTTTTCATTTTGAGGATGGGTCATCTAACAAGTAAGCCTGTTGGCTTGAAGAGCGCCAGCAACAAAGCACTCTGGTTTACCAAGATCAAGGCTTGAAAGGACTCTTACAATGAAACTAATCCTGGACTCATCGTACCCTGATGGAAGCACGCTACACTCATCCTCTGTAACAATTTGCAGATCAGTAGTGGTATCCTGGTACATAATGAGAGGTGCCTTTGATTCCAGAAATGCAGAGGTCTGAGAGCTTTTCTAATTGCAGCTCAGTGGCCTTTGGTGCCACATCTGCAGCACAAAGGACGTCAGTGAGACATCCTGCCTTGGCTCATTCTTCCTGTGTTTAAAATGGCTGTCCATTATAGCAGCAGTGCATCACTTCACCAACAATTCCTCTTGGATTGAGGATTTTGGTGTGAGAAAAAGTGCTCCTGCAGTACCCACTCACCTAATTGCTTGTAGGAGTCACAGAAATGCTTTGGGTATCTTCCCCTTTCTATTCCAGGCTCTTCTGATGATGAACTAGTCTGCATGGCAGGAGGCCATTTCATCTGCTTTAATTACCTCTTAAGCAAAAGTTCTGCCCTGATATCCTATAGACATCATGGCTTTGGGAAATGCCTTAAACTTCTCCCAATCCTCCTCCCACAGGGTCGTTAGCTGTGCTCTGAGTAGGAGGTGACTAACTCTCACTCTATCCAACTGTAAAATTTAAGAGATTACATTTACATGTACATTCCAGAAATTCATGGCTCAGGGAAAATGAATCAAGTGATAAAAATGAATATGTAAAGTGACAAACAAAAGTGAATATGATCTGAACAGGAAATCTTCTGTGCAGGGATTTTCAATTTGATTTTGCTACAAGAGAAACTACCAAGCACAATAACCTGTAATTAAGATTAAAAGTCAGGAAAAAAGTTTTCAATAGTTTATGCCTGGATTGAAAAAATGCTACTTGCCTGGGCAGTGTTAATTAAGAGGCATGTGAGTTACCATTGGTCATGCCTTGAGCCACAAGTTAAGTTTTGCTGGGTGTAACCACAAGCATGGATCTCTGTGCTTGGGAAAAAAAATAATAATAAACATTAAAATTAAATAGTACAGAGGATGGGTCGCTGCTTAGGGAGAGATAAGGGAAAAGGAATAATACAGAGGAAAGAGACAGGATGCAGGATGAAGGAGTTGCCATCTTTTTTTAGTTTGTTCATGGATTTCTCAAAATAGAAACCTTTCAATAATAGTTTGCTTTAGATTTTGCCTATGGAACTTTTTCAAAGTGAAAGTGGCCTTTGACAGCACCCCGTGTTCTTACAGTGATGGAGAGCTGAGTATCAGAATGAACTATTTGTCTGTCTCCTACATTCCTTTGTATCCAGTAAAGAATTAGGCTTGTCACTGCAGGGAAAATCATGCTGACATATGATACGCTGAGCTTTGAGAAGATGCACAGGATGCTTCAAGCATTTTTTTGTTTTGTTTCTTTGTTCCTCTGCTTGGCTGCATTCCTTAGTAAGTGGGGCAGAGCTATATGCAGCTTGTCAGAAGTGCCTCTCCTAACTGTATTTTTCCATACTGTAGCAGTTACATCACTGACTACAATCTTCTGGCAGCTAGAAGGTGGAGACATGAGGCAGGCAACTAAGATAAATGCAACTTTTAAGCAAATGAGTTATTTTCATCCAGTGCAAATGTTGTAGTGACTGTGTTTTCCCACAACTGCAATATGCTAACCTGTAAACAATACACCGAAGGGGCTGGTATTTAATTTTATTTAATTTTAGGGTGAATATCAAGTGGATATTCACTTGGCCTCAGGTCCAACCAAGGAAGGTAACAGAGTTGGGCTTCTTTGCTTATTTTTTAGTTCTGTTTATGAATTTAGCATTTACTGAGACTTTTTTTTTTTTTCTCTAAGAACAGTATTGCTATGCAGGCTCATGACCTTGTTTTGCTCTGTGTGATCTAGTAAAGAAGACAGACTCTTTTGCACTTGAAATTGGAAGACTACTGATCTATCCATCCTGCAGATGTTGTAGAGATGGCTCATTTCTGAGTTGCTTAGACTTGTTTTGAGGTGGTTTCTACCATACTTAAAATGTTACTATTTCACTGAAATTAACATGTATTCAGAAAGAGGTACTTGTCAAGTTTTGCTGAGACACAGACAATACAATAATTTTAGCAGGACTGCATCTAAAATATCAACTGATATTGAATTAAATAATACCAATGCTAGGAAGACTTTGTTAATTTCTCTGAATTGTGCTTATTAGTGAACTGTCACAGAATGTCCAGGCACTCTTTTTGCTTTAGTTATAGCTTGCAAATTGATTCATTACCTATCAAAAACAAAAGACGCATTCACGTGCTGTACACAACTGCACATACTAAGATGCTCATCAAGAGTAATACTAAGTTGTTCATTAGTAATCTAAAGGCAAAGGGCATGGGTGATACAGAAAGTAGAAGAGACAAATTTTTTATAAAAATTGTGTGTGCATTACATCACGGTGACTGGTTTAATTATGGAGATTATCAGTACTGCCTGCTGGAAATGACTGTCAGTTCCCCGAAAAGTCCATTACTAACTGCTCATATATTTGCTACATGTAACAAATGGCACACAAATCATCTGTTCAAGCTGTTTGTTCCAATCTAACACTTGCTGGTGGCATAGCCTGAAAATACCAAGCATCGTGTGTGATAGAAACTAATCTTTATGTTTTCTTATTTTTATTCTATCTCGGTTTACACTCACGAGAAGGGGGAAGAGACATTTTTAAATGCAAAAGCCTATCACAGAGGTAAGATAAGATAAAATACGTGCACTGGGTTCAATGCAGTTCTTCCGTGACCATGCTCTCTGTGACAGCCTCATTCTATTCTCCTTCCCTCCAAGTTCCTCTCCATACCCCAGGCCCCTGCTTTATTCAGTGCTCAGCTTAATGTCAGAATTTTGTTCATACCCACTGTCTGATTTTCAGATGAACAATTTCCTTTTGGTCTTCTCACAGTATTTATAACTGCATTCCATGCTCTATAAGGAGTTAAAATACCTTCATAAACACCTTGTAGCCATAGGAACAGAGTCACTCCTCTATTAACAGTGGGGCAATTCAAAGTCCAAGAAATGTAGGAAAATAAATAGGCAACCCATATTGTAACTGAGAGCTGTGCCATTTTGGATATTACACACAGCCCAGACACTGTGATATGAATGCTAAAGTTATTTAAAAATAAGGCCCAAACTCTTCAATTTTGTGTAAGCAGAATCACTAAAAAGACTGAGTACACACAAAAGAGTCAGCACACTCCTCTCCTTGCTGACTTAGACCACAGTCAAAACAGTCACTAGGTATATGCTTACACTGCTCTTCTAATACTCTTGTCACTGCCAAGAAGCAAAGTCATTGTGATTCCTTGTGTTAGTACAAAACTTCTGCATGTGACTCTCAGCTTCTGTTTAATCTAGCACAGAGTTTATGCCAAATGACCAAAATGACCATATGTTTATGCCTTTGACCAAAACCAAGTTTTTTCTTATTGCACATACAGGAAAAACAAAATATTGTTAGAGTTTGAATTTCTTAGCTTCCTAGAAGCATCTTCTCGATCACAGGAATGTCAGTGGTGTACAATAGCCATTACCTGAGGCTGACAGGATGTCTTGGGAATTACTCCATATACTAGAGAAATTGGCAAGGAAATCTTGACACGAGGGACATCTCCCACAGACTTCAACCTCTTGATGAGTTCATGTGCTCTGCTTGGTCTTTCAAATCTGAATACTCTGTTATTGGACTCCATCTTAGACATCTAAAAATAAATCTTCTGATGTGGTTTATTCTTTCAAAACAACCTTTCATAACATTAATTTTAAACCAAGACGCTGATACAGTCATTTTGTAGCAATTAATATTATAGTCCTATAGGCAAGAGCTGATGGTCATCCTTTGTTCTTTTCTATGGTGGCACAAATTTGGTGTCACTTTAATTATGCAAGATACATGGTAGTACACGTGAAAGCAAGCTTGAATACTCTAATGGCTTTACATATTATGAAGCAGTTCTGTAAAAATTAAAGATTTGGTATAGAGTTATTTGAAGTGAAAAAACAGAATCAGGGTTTTATGCTCCACAGTTGGCACATGTATGCTATGCAGTAAAGGAACAAATTCACCTGTGGCTTTAAATAAAAGATATAAAAATCTTTTTTTAAACCTCAAACTGTAAGAGTCTCCAAATCAATATGTTCGCTTAACATGCAGTGACCTAGACTTGAAAGGCCACAAGGTAGCACTGAATCATTATCTATTTCAGAGAATTAAGAGAGAAAGAAAAAGTCAAGCCTATTTTTAGCTTTGAAATTTATGGCCATGATATCATCAAGTTAAATGAACATGATCTGATCCAGGAGCTGAAAGGCAAGGATATCTATCCTTTATGCATCTTCAAAAAAAAGTACAAGCCCAGATCTTGGAGCTTTAGGGAAGAAGTTAATCTTACTGAAAGATCTACTAAAGCCTCTGGCAATGAACTTAAATCTTAACAGATCAATTTCTCTTGAAGAAACACAATTCTACTACTTCTCTTATATTTATTGTTAATTTACAGGTAGTACACTGCAGAACAGACAATTTAGGATGGAAGCAAAGTGATTTATCTTTGTGTAATAAGACCATGTGAATCTATACACCCATTAAGAGCTTTTGTATGGCCTAAGAGTTGTAAAGCTAGGCTGCTTTAACTAACTAAAGGTAGTCGAGTCACTGAGAATCTCCCATCCCAGGTCCCCTGGTCTATATGGAAGAAACCACTCTAGCACCTTTCATAAAGATTTGTCTGCGTATCAGGACACCTTTTATAAAGGAAAGCTAATTAAAAGAGGCTTGAGCACAGAGATGACTGGGGTCACTTTGAAATACTGTAGAATAAATCCAAATTCATTTCTCAGGGCAGTCTGGTCTCCTGTACTTTTGCTTCCTCGCCTGGGCAGACAATTTCACCACATTAGTCAATGATAATTTTCTCAGGGAGTTTTAGTTGCAGAAGTATGTTGTTACCTTCTAGATAGCTGCAAGACTAGATTCAACACTTGAATGCAAATACTGATTTCAGCTCTACTTAAAGGGAATCTACTAATTGGGAATTTCTGTGGCTTATTGATTGTACTGACTTATGGACTTGTCTTAAACAATAGCTTCAATAGACAAAGCTTTCTGAAAGTCTTACAAAAGATATTTTTCCCCTTCATTGGCACAGTGTGAACCCCAAATACACTCAAAAAAATTTAAAAATAAAAATAAAAATAAAAATAAAAATAAAAGTAAAAATAAAAATAAAAATAAAAATAAAAATAAAAATAAAAATAAAAATAAAAATAAAAATAAAAATAAAAATAAAAATAAAAATAAAAATAAAAATAAAAATAAAGGATTGTTTGCTTAGCAGGAGTCTCCATGTTGGCCTTCATCGTGGAAATGCCACACACCAGTAGCAGCAGTGTGGAAGGGCCACCAACCAATTTCATGCATTCTGCTCCAGAATGTTTCAGAACATCTATAATGAACACGGTAACTTAGGAACTATTAGTCAAAAATAATAATAATAATAATAATAATAATTGTAATGCCAATGTTATCATAAACTGTGGGAGAATAGGATTAATGTCTCCCTACATTAGATTAAAATTATGCAGAATTTCTTTTTGTTTCTTCCAACATCTGTAGTATGCTACAGTGTTTAGTTTTTCAATAATTAGCACTCCAGCTATCACACATATTGATGATGTTGTTTTTCTAACATCATAGCAATTTATCTCATGTGGCTTTTCTTGTCAGCTTTCACTTCTGTTGGAAGAATTTTTGACTAAATTCCCCAGCAAACTGAATCTTGATGAACAAGTTTTCCATGCTTGGAGTATTTCTTCCCATTATATATAAGACTTAAATCATTTCCATTGCCTAGCAGACACTTCAATTCATTTATTTTCTGTGACATAATTTTCATGCCCAGACAAACATCCCTGGTTAGTAGGTTTAGAGTCATAACACCACAGCTTTTAATAGTATTTTGCCAGATTATTTGGGACTTTATGTTTCATAAGCATTTGGGCCTCTGAATGGCACTGGCTGCCAATCAGCTGTTATTTTTGTAACAGGCAATGTTTCTAGGCAAGGCAAGGCATTATTAACTTTTTGTGCTCCATTCTTCTGGCTAATCTTTGATCCTCAGTGGCAAATGCTAAATGTGTCTCTTTAGCCACAGTGTAGTTGTGCAATTTTGTCCTGAGCATGAATTCCATAGAAACGCAGGAACAAGGATGCCAGCACATAAGGTCAACTGAGTGGCTCCAACTCTGCATCTGAGCACCATCCATAGTCTTACACATAAAGACAGGACGGATATTGTCTAGTGAGAACAGGCACAAGTGTTCCCTTCATTGTGTCTTTTCATGGTCTGCAATGTTTGGCTATATAGATAATTTCTGAGTGCTCTGCTGAAGGAAGTTATAGTTAGGTTACAAAAAATTATTGAGTCACAACTGCTAAAAACTGCTCTCTCTATGGACAAGCAATTGTATGAAATGAAGATGAAAGACCTGCAACAGACTGAGTACTCCTTTATCTCATGCTTTTGCTGTAGAAAAAGAAATTCATGCTAGATTAATGCATCTCTTTTTCTGGAATTGTGCTTGTGTGTCTACATGACAATACCCAAACAAAAAAGACAGCAGGAAAGCCAGTTGTGAGCAAGCTATAGCACAAAGACTTTTTGCTAGGTTATCATGTGTGGTTTTGTCTCCAGATAAAAAAATTATATTTAATCTATAATATAAATTTATATGGCAGCATTTTAAATCTGTTTCAGATGGAAGTAAAATATAATTTCTGGCTGTCTTGGCATTCAGAAGCCCTAAAAACTTCCAGACTGCCTTTAGCTGAGGATGTTTATAGAGAAAATAACTATAGCTTTTACCTCAAATGAGAAAATTAGTTTTCAGTGTAATAGATCAACAATAAAGCAATTTAAGCAATACGACAGTAATAGAGTTTTAGGGGAAAAAGTATATCTAAAACATTTAGAATTCTTAAGTGATACAGCTTTATGAACCTTTTAATAAAACATCTCTATTTTATTCTCCCCCTCCACCAGTAAACATTACATTATTTTCTATCATTTGAAAGCATAACTCTACCAGTTCCACAACAACCTTCTGGAATAAGATGAATGCTGACGTATTTTTAAATACTGATTTAACTTTGGGAAACTGAAGTTTAGTACTAAGTGAAAGAGATCTAATCCTTGTTTAAAAAAAGAGGTGTGTTTTTTTTTTTTTCCTCTCACATCTCGAAAAAAATGAAACTCACCCCTACAATTTATCCTTTCAACATTTCTTATCAGATGCTGAATCCTACTCAGTTCAGAGCAGCAACACCCATTTCAAAGACAGTCTCTATTCAGAGTTGTTTTTCTTTCCAGACACAAGACTGCTGCAACTGTGTTGCAGCTTTACTAATACCGCAAGTTTAATTTCAGCTCATGATTCCTGAATTGCCTTTTTTTCATTATATTCATCATTTTTTTTTCATATTTTTTCTTCCCCTCTACCTGCAGCGTGATCTTTCAGAATAAACAGTTCACATTGTGGAGTTTGGTGCTTAACCCAAGGCAAGCACAGGGATAGATAGCTCCTTATCTCTGAATGTGACAGCCCCCCAGCCCAGTGCTCCCTCCCAAGAACTCTCTTATTGGAAGGGAGAAGCTGCTGCCACAGTCACATCCCTCTCCATGCTTTACACTCACACACCTGTCCTCCATCTGCCTCTATTATCTACTTGTTTCTCTTGCACTACCCTCCTGTTGCATATTTCTGCCATGCCATACATCCTCATGCATATTTCCAGTCCGCTTCTTATTTATTCACTCATTCATTCATTTATTTACTTTTTGACATTTCCTGTCTGAGAAATGTTTACACTTTCCTTTATTGTTTCTTTCATTATTACTTGTCCAATAGCCCCAATTAGATGGTCCCTGTTCTACGGAGTTCATTCACTTAACAAACAGCTGATATATAAGTACACACAGTGTTGGTCTATCCTTCAAGTTAAATATCCATTAGGCTATTACTGCTCATGGTAAAGTGTGCAGATGTGTCCTGGTGTCTACGTGTCTATACAACCTTCCACACCCATATGTAAACCTCTCAGTTAAACATAACATTGGATTTCCATATCCATTACTATCAAAGACGTTTGGTTTTGATACCTATTTTGTATTTCAAAAAATTTAAGTATTTACCCTGACAAACTAACTTAAGGCAGAACAAGATCTCTCTCGTCCTTTGGATCTTAGTTTTGAGCTACTGCAGAACTGGCCACAGACCTTTTTGTGAGTCTGAACTTCACGACCCTGATTTGAAAAGTCATTGCTTTCCTAGAATAATTTTGATTGTTTATGTTAGGGGATTTTGTTTCTACAACTCTGTAAAGTATAGTGCTAAGTCTCAGCAGGAAGTGTGAAGACATGCCACCTCCACACGCGTGAAGTACCAAATGTGTGTTCTTTAAACACATCAACAAGCTCAGGAGACAGCTGCAGAGAACTGGATCGCAGAACACAGCCAGGCTAAATGAACAGCCACTGTCCTGATACCAGTTCTTCATCAGCTGACGAAGGCAACCTAAGCCTACTATATCCAGTTTTAACTGCAAATCAGACATGAGAAATTTAACTCAGGCAAGCTAAAAATGGCACTATATGCTCATTCTTTATCATGATCTCCAATCTGTTCCTCCAGCAAAGCCTTGGAAATATTTCTTTCATTACTATATTAAGCCAAGAAGATGATATGTGCAGGCTCATGAGTCTATACAAACGCTTTTTTCTAAAATGACAAGCTTTCTGCAATCTTTTTCTAAAATGACATTTTTGACAGTATCCTGGGTACCAGAAGAAAACAATGTGTCTGCGTAGGCCACACACAGTTTTTGAGAAAAGTAGAATTCCCTACGTCAGTGCCATCTTTGATATTTTCCGGAGGCTTTAGGATTAATTATAGCCAACCTTGCAATGAAACAGTCTCTGTCTTGGCTTTGCCATCTTTAAATGTTCCAGAAAGCTGCAAGATGTAGTAAGGCTCCTCAGTGTCTCCCACAAGGTCAACTGTATTTTCCACCATGCATAAAAGTGAAGAAAAGCCTTAATAAACTGACATCATCCTGCTAGGATCAAACCCAGCCGCAGGTGCATGCCTCCCTAAGACATACACAATTCTGACCTCATTTGCCATAGTCAGTGTTATCCCGTGCACAGGATTATGAACTTGCTGGTACAATGAATGAGGGAGGACAGAGGACACAGAGAGGACAGAGGACACAGCACAGAGGACATTTAGGCACATCCACACTACAAATTGCTCCAGTGCTACTCTCCGGAAATGTTTGCTCTGCAGGGGTCTCCTCCAGACTCCTGTTTTGTACTCCCCCCGCCGTGCTGCAGCTACTGCTGGGGTGGGGGTGCGGGTGCCTCTGCACTGATGAGCTGGCGGGGGTGGGAGCTGTGCTTCCTATTTTAGAATGGTCTTCAAGTGTAGTCCTACATCCATCTTAAACATATTTGTCTAGACCAAGGACACCACTGTTCCCCTGAGAGATTGGCAAAAAGCCCTCCCTGAGCACACTGCCCGGAGGAGCACAGACAGAGGCTCAGCTACGCTCAGTCCCTGCTAGAGCCCTGGGCAAGACTAAAGGCTCATCCCCATTCTTAACACTAGACATCATACTGAATTTAAAATCCACACAGAGGAAGCCGTCTTGAAGCAGAGGACTTTTATTAACACCACTTTCATTACTGCCATTTCTCCGACTTTTCAGATAGCTTAAGATGTGATTTTCTTTCAGGCTGCTTCCTCACCTAATGGCCTCAGTCCATTCACCAGACACCTGAGGACTGCAGAGAAGCTCTCTCAACACCATTTACAATGTGAGTGACACTCTATCTGATGCTAATACTCTGAAGGTCCTGCTAAAGGGCACCACAGCAGCATACTCTGTGCACCACATTGCCAGCCCAATGGACTAAGAGCACGGCTTTAGAAAACCACTGCAGCACCAAAGGTGATGGGACATTTGCTGCTTGGCTTACCTATCCCCTGGTTCTAACGGAAAGCAGGGTTTCAGCTCCTGCTTTCAAGACCACTAATGATAAAGCACTTCACTGAAGCAGTTAGCTTCACTGCTGGGCACCAGTCTTTCATGCCAGCTACAACAAATCATTTACCTGCCTACAGCCAAGGCAATAATGGGTCTGTCTGATAATTCCTTTGTAGCTGTTCAAGCATGCTTGTACAACAACACATCATAAATCAGAATTAAACATCTTAAAATTGAGTTTCTCTAAAACAAGAGCTTTTTGAAAATTACATTCCTAATATAATAAACCATGGGAGTGCTCTTTCTTATGCCTGAGGAAAAAAAGTCCCTTTTCCTTATTTTTCTTCCTTTCTTTTTTTTTTTTTTTTGTAGATAGATGGAGAGGATACATGTTGTGTGACAGTAATACGGGACACCAGAGTTTATTTGTAGTCAGAAGAGACTTAAAGAGGTATTTGTTTTCCTCAGGAAGAGACGGTGTTTATTAAATAATAAATAACTTTGCTAATGCATCAAGATGGTGTTATATATAGCTTTCTATGCTGATCCAAATCAATTGACAGTGAAGCCTGCTTGTTCTCCTCAAGACAGAATTACTCAAGCAGGATCAGGCTAGACAGCAAACCATTACACAAACCATATCCTTCAGAAAACTCATTTCAAAAAGCAGTATATGATGGGAGAGGATGCTAAGAGTTACCTTGAATTTCTGAGCAACTGGAGGCACAGGATAGCGAAGTTTAAACACTGGTTGCCTGTATCAATAGCTCTTCAGAGCCTCAGGGTACTCCCAAATCTGCAGACCCATGAAATTAAACTAGAAATTTATGGCATTTCTCTGTTTCCCTTCCTCAAGTGTTCATGAGATACTGAAAGCTAGACAGCAAAGCAAACAGGGACATAACTGCTTACCACCATGTGCTGCAGTCATTTTTTAGGCATTTCAAGTGCAGATTAAGGTAAATTAACTTTTGAAAAATGCTTATGCTTATTTTTAAAGATGTTAAATTATTGTCAGCGAAGCTGCAGAATGCTATGAGCATCTTCACATAGGTAACAGGGATGTTTCAGATCACTTTAATAACCAGTTGATAATTTTCAAAATATTTCAAAAAAGAAATGATGGGACAGAAAATTATTTATAAAACAACTGGTGACGTGATTAACTTTTCCTATTTTATGTTCCCACAGCTGCTCAAAGAACAGAAAATAATTCTTTTAAGACTAACCTGTCAAAAGTAGTTTTCCAGCATATCCAATTTCTTTAAAATGTTATTAGCAAAAATAGTCCTTTAAAGTTCTGGTTTTCAAAGCAAGAAAAAAGGATAAACACAGCACTTAAAGCTTATTCTGATAACACTGCATACATTTGTATTTACATGTTCATAGGCCTGCTACACGTCCTTCCTCAACACACTGAAAAATTGTGACATTTGGTGTGTATGTGTGAGTGGTTGTTTGTTGTTTTTTTTTGGCTAACTAGCTGACCACAAAGGCAGTTTTTACCAAACCAGCTTGTACCCTGCCATTCCAGGTTTTATGTGTCTGTTCTGTGGCACTGGCTTGGTCCCCAGTCCCTCAAAATAGCCTCAGCAGGTCTGGCAGCCCAACCCATGTGTGCCTGACCACCTGCTCCCTCCCCTTTTCTGTCCTAAGCCTCCTTCTAGGAGCAAGTCTTGTATCTCAGAGGTGGCCTGGTGATGCACAAGTATTAGAAGGGATCATAGTAAAAATGGCAAAGAAATTTCATCAGTCCTAGTTTACCTCTGCTGTTTCAGCATCCATGTAACTGGAAGGACCCCAGGCAATCAAACTCAAAGTGTTGCAAGTGACTTCAGTGGCACAAGGAGCTCCAGCTCATTTTCAGGCCAAATGCATTACAAATAAACCCACAGAATGAGGGAAAAAATATATATATTTTTTTTTTCTGAAAGAAATCAGAATGAGGTCCTAGAATTTCCTGCCAAAATAGAATAAATTAATTTGTGAAATATCAGCGCTGGCACTGCAGGACCTCACCCAAGAGCAAATAATTGCTGAATAAAACAAGGAACCTGAGGGTGATGATGACAGGGCAAGGGTTGTCTGTGGAGGGGAGAAGCTGTTGGGAGACGTCTGCCCCTTGGTGAGCCTGATAGCCTGACCAGATCATTGGGCTGGCAGCTGGGGAATGCAGGGCATCCTCTCTCCAAAACACCTGCACCATCAGGACTGCTCTGGCACTGGAAACCTTACAGGACAGGGCTCAAAGCACTGAGGACACTTGGTACAGTTTGTCCTGACTTTCTGCTTGTAACCTCCTGTTTCTGCTGAAAGTTTTGCTGGATTGTTGTTGCCCACGGGCAGGATAGTCCTTCAGAGCTTCTAACTGGCTGATGTTAGATATGTGCCTCCACACAAGTCACCCCATGGCATCACGGGTGGCAGTGGCACTGCACCACATTGCATTTGGGAAATGGAGTCATAATTCCAGTGAATGTAGGCAGCCTGAAGCTTGATTCTGGGGAGATGTGTTCATTTTATTCCACACCTACGCTTCACTCTGGGTAAAGGAGGTGCAGACACGTACCTTCTCTGTACTCGTGCTCACTCTTTTTTGGTCTAGGGCTTTTCAATATAATGTTTTTATGACTTTTTATTCAGCTTGTGATTTTTGACTCCAGGTAGCAGCACATCGCCCGCAGATTTTCATTTTACAGTTATTGTCTACAAACTACCACCTTAAATCCTGCAGTAAAACATAATTTTTCCTCATGCTGTACAAAGGAATGATTGCTTCCCCCACAGCATTACCAGCCATTGGTTTACTACAAACCTTCTAACTGCTTCTTTACTAAGGAACCTATTAATTAAGGTAGTTAAAGAAACACAGTATCTATGTGAATGGTTTATTTTACTTAAATTAGGCACATGCTGGCATATCTTCTTAAGGAAAATTAGCCACTGGTATAAAACTTTGGGTCAGTAGATTTGCATCTCATGCAGGTATTGCAGCACAGGCAGAACAGGGTGCTCCTGAGTTTGAAAACCCATGTTTAAATCAGCCACATCAGAAAGGCAGTGGGAAATCTGACTCAGTGGGTTAAAAATGTAACTAAGCTAAAGGATTTTGGAAACAATGATTTATATATGGCATGACTAGACTTCAGTCAAGACAAGACATATTTACTTTACCTCAATACTGGATGTCTTTGTTGTTATACCAAATTACTTATTTTCATGCATAAATGATATATCATTTTCTTCTGTTACTTTGAATCTAGCATTAGCAAGAACAACGAACAGCTGGCAAAACAACATTATCCAGAGTTGAAGTCTGTACCTTCTTCCTCAGCCCGAATTCATTTCAGTCAGGGAATGAATCCCAATAATCAAACAGCTTGTTGTGAAAGTCATCCTGTATTGCAATAATTAATCAACAGCACACATATATGTGTATGTCTGTATGTAGTTAAATAGAGAGATGTATTTAGATAGACAGTAAAAATAAATAAATTTGTTATTAAAAAAAAAAAAAAGCACCTCCTCATTCCCAATTACCTGAAGTTACCGTGGACTCTGTATCATTAGAAATAAGGGCAAGGAGCATCACTGAGGGAGGCCCCAAAGAACTAATTGCAGGCACATATGTTCTGATACAAGACTGCAAATGTAAGCCATTAATTTTTAAACACATGAAAAAGCATGACAGGCTATTAAGTCTCTCAGTACAGAGGAACCCAAAGCATTTTTGTTTAAATTCTGGCAGTAAATGTTTGCAGAGAAAGAAACACTTTACTGCTTCACTGAACAGCTTGTATTTCCTGAACGCATTGAAAATGAAAAATTCATCACGTGAGGCTACAGAAAAAAGCCACAGACAAGAAGCTCAGTTCAGGAAACAGAATGGGAGCCATGTAACGGAATAGGAAACCATTTGGAAAAAAGGTATTTTTGTGTATGCTATAGGAGTGTGTACATACACATAAAAATACATTTAGAAAAATGAGCTGTAAATTAATCATAAATGATTCCTAATCATAACACAATTTCTTACTTAGTCAGACTTAAATGAAGATAAATCTAGGAGAGCATGGGCATGAATTCTATTTATAAACCATCACACGCTTTAGCCAATTAGAAAACGAGCTCTTTGAGCACTGATTTCTAGGGAGTTGCAGCTGGTCAAAAAGTTTTACTTGAGTGAAGGATGTTTTAGTTGGGAAAATAGACACACTACAAAACACCCAGCCCGTAAGCTACAAATAACCAAATCTCTTTAATTCAGACACATGGCTATGAACAGCTGAGAACAGGACAACTCTTAATTGCACTTTATTTGCAATTAAGATTATAGATCTGCTTATAAGATTATTCAGATTATAGATCTGCTTCCATACAACAGGTAAATGTAGCCTAAGTCTCTTTGAATGTCTTTTTTTTATGATTAAACCTCACCACTAGCATTGAGCTCCACAAACTAGCATCAGAATTGCTCCTTTCACCATGTGTCTGGCCAAGCTGGTCAGCAGATGATATCCCTGACACTAGCATCCCACTTCCTCTGCCTCCCACCCAGTGCCAAGTCCTTGCAGTAACACTGAATGCACATTTGTTTGTAGGGAGTAAGTATGTGTGCTAGTTCATTTAGCATTAAGCAAATAGGATCATTTATAATTAATTGGCTGCAATTTGCTGAATTCTAACATGACAAAAATCAAAAGATTTTATTCAGAAAAGCAGGGGAGGGTGGCAGGGAATAAGACACTGTGAAATAAAAGCTCTCAGCCAAAAGCCAGGGAATGCAGTAGCAAACTGGACTGGACTGAGACACCTCCTGAGCTAACTCTTCCTTCTGCAAACATGTTAGAAAATTCATCATTAAAAGTTTTGCATGTACTTTTAGGACCTCTGCCACCTGCTGAGGGTATTTAAAGCAGTAAAATACTCATACAATATTTAGTATGGACCAAGCCAGCCAAATTGTGATGGTCTGTTCCCAGGAAGTATGTATATATACATCCCTTAAATTGCTATTAAAATGAAAATGCAATAAAATGAAATTAATAATGAGCTCTGAGATACTAGAGTAAAATGGATTTTATAATGGGAAAGACAGATGCAGTAGGAGAGGCAAGTCAAACAAGCTGCCTAACAGGAAACTAGCAGACCTCTAACCTTCCAAAACTTACATGAAAAGCTGAGGTTATTAGGTCTGGATTTAATGAGAAAACTGAAAATACTGTAAGGAACTGTAGCTGAAACATAGCAAATGGACAGTACTGTAGTAGCATGAGATCTAGAGTTTGACGGAACTTATAATGAAGTTTGCACATTCCTGTCAATGGTACTATGACTGCAGCTCGCATTTCCATCCAGAGGTGACATCTCAGAGTAGCACACCAGAAAACAGGAAGGAGTGGAGGTTAAATCACAGCACAGTGACCTCAGATTATCGTACATGCAAGCCATGCATTCTGCCAGCCCTGACAGTGCCGAGGTGAGTAACATGCCAACGGGAGGAAAAGGTATTTGAGTGTGGAAATGGGAACATATGGAAACAAATTGCCATGGAAGAGCAGAGACCTGACGGTCACAAAGATGTGAGCTCTTCTCTGCATTGTACAATTTATTTATTTTTTTTAAGTTCGTTTCACCAGCTTCCCTTGGGTTGGGGAATAAAACTGCTGTGTAGCCATTTGTTTCAATTAGTCATTTCCTTCCTCATTTTTCTTCAGGCCCTCCAGTGATTTTTCAACAGGCAAATCTCTATTATGAGAACACCGCCTTCATATACATACAGCTAATACCCTATTTGCTGAATAAGCAAATAAGTGTTTCAAGAGGCACTGAGTTAGCAATTTCCAGTAACACATGCAAATTTTGAAGCCTAAGGTATTCTGATTCTTACAAGCAAAGTTAAGTTTTCATTTTCAAGCATAGCCCTAAGTATTCCTCATGAATAGGAAGCGGAGCATAAAAAAAGCTCTAGAGTGGGTAGCAAAAACATTGAACTGAGCACTTCAAAGATGTCACCTTTTTAGTACAGCCAAAGATAATACATGGTTTCATTTTAAAACAAGTTACTGGGATTTTTTTTTACATAACCCCAATTTGAAAACATGCTTTGCCCTCACTTTCTGATGTATTTTAAATTCTACATTAATTCTAGTACAGCACTGATTTTATTTTTTCAGTTAAAAGAAAAGCAGTACCTTGCTGCTCAGATACGCCAGATCTTTGACAAGTGAAGTTCATGAGTCACAGAGCTCATGGGAAGTAAGGGCAGGGGAACTGTGAGGCAAATGTGCAGAGATATACAAGCAAATGGCCAGCATGACAGATCAATCCACTAACTCCATTGTAGGCAAAGTGCAAAACAAGCTCTTGGCTCGCTTGAAGGTGCAGTCTCAGCTGGGCAGTCTTACTTTTACCTGCAGTGGGCTTGTTGGAGAAGTGGGTTAGGATGCCAATAGAGTAGAAAAGCATCATTGAAAAAATGAGAACTTCCATATTGTCTCCAGTTAAATAATTTTGCAGCCACAGTGCCACATGTCCTGTTGTCTTCCTCACATAAAGACTTCAGGAATGTTAAAAAATGCTTTATATTTTTTTCTGTTATAGTTTTCACAAACACTTTCTTCTCATTTCACATTAAATATCATGACTGTGCGCAAGGCACTTTCAGGGTTTGAATACAGATGCATATCCTTGCATACCCATATATTCACAAAAATATATGTATGTAATGAACATTAGGAAAACATCTTTACCTGCATTACATGCCCATATCAACTTAGATTCAAATCTGTGTCGTTTGGGGATGAAGACTTTTCTTTTAAATGAAGCAATATTTGCTTCACCTAGAAGAAAACACAAAATAAAGGCTTACGTGATTTTAAACATTTTCAGTTACAGTCTGTCTAAGCTAATCTATAAGGAGAAAAGTCTTAACCTTATCCCATTTGAAATGGATAAAATACTAAACCTTATATAGGAGGGATTATCTGGAAAGTCACTCATAAGTGACGAAAGGAAGTGTTGCAGATGAGTGATTTAATGGCTACATTGCATAACATTTAATAAAGCTGCTTCCCCATGAATAATTTGTGTGTCTTTTTGGGAAACATGGACAGCTGGAAAACTACTTTGTGATCAACCAGTTCCTGTCCTTACTGATGACAGTATTTAACGTTTAAAAACTGCGCTGCACATCAGAAATGGAAAACATAGAGGCCATTTCTGATGTAGCTGTACACACTCATTCTCCCGTCCTGCCACTCATTCTAATGGCAAGGATGGGTTTCTGCAGAATGCATTTCAGTGCACTTTTGGAAGTTAGATTAAATATTTTTGATGGTATCATTTTTTGCATAGTAAATCCTAGACATGCAGAGACAGCCTAATTAGTATCACTCTTCTACAAGCATTGTCAGAAATATTATATATATATATTTGCAGAATTTGGGAACAGAAGGAACATGGATGGACTCTTGGCTGTTATCTTTTAAAATATCCTTACTCACTTGGAAGCAGAGCAAACACAGGAAACCATTAGGGTAAGATGACTTAGAGGTTCAGAGTACCACTTTACAAGGATCAGTTGTGTTGTCAAGTTCATCTCCAAGCAGCTTCATAGCTACACTGAATGACACAGTAGCTGAGTTCAGTCTCTCCCAGGATTTGTGTTACTTACACAAGGCACTCGTGTTCTCAGCTCTTAACATGAGCTGGGTTTCATTTTGCTGCACTGCAACACAGAGAAAACACAACCCTCACGATGAGTGACAGCTGTAATTTATGTCCTTTATCCTTTTTGCCTACAGAAATGTGTGCCAATTATATGCTGAGTACCAGTGAATGAAACCGTCACAAAATTGCCATTATTTAAATGGCATTTATTTAAATTGATAATTAACTGTCAATCAATTAATTAATTGATAATCTTATTCAATTGAGTTTTTGTTGTTGTTGTTGTTGTTGTTTGGTTGGTTTGTTTGTTTTGGCAGAAATGTGAATTAAGTTGCAACATTTTTGACCATATTGGCAGCTGAGGCAGACTGTTTGGCCAGAATGCAAACCAGCTGAGAGGAAACTTTTGTAGTCTAGTCCTCAACACCTAATGCAGTCCTGGACTTTGCTCTTGCACCAGCCTTTGCAAAGCAATGCTGCACAACACTGGTGGGAGAGTTGATGCTCTCCAGCACTTCTCACTTGGCCAAGCTGTGTGCGTCTTCAAAATCTTGAGTCAATCCAAAGGCTGTGACTCAGCAACATAAAAAATTGTGAGGCATAAACAGACTATGTTACCTTCACCTGCTGATGGAGGAGGTAACCAGTGTGCTGCACTCTCCGCATGGGCGGATAGGATATATATAAATATGAAGCACCTATCATCCTACTGATGAACCACTGGAACCACTCTGATGGCAGGGGTAAGAGCAGGATACCCGTCAGTACCTCAACACTTCTGCTTCCAACCAATTTTAAATAACTAAATGAACCAACCAAGACTTTGCTGCCAGCCTGGCTGGCTGTTGTTTAACACTCCTACTTCATGAAGGTAGGAGGGAGACCTACTGTGAATAACAACAATTGGCACTGTGACTTCTCCAGCTGTGCTATTGAACAATGCAAGCATCACAGAAGGCAAGGGCGACATGAGGTCTTGGACCCAAAACCAGTCAATATGTCTCAGAGGCAGGGAGCTCCCATTAGCAGAGAACAAGCTAACTCTGTGCATGAAGCTCTCACCTTCTGTGCTTAATGCTGAGTCAGTGAGCTCTCTTGACTCTTCCAAAGTTTCAAAAGATTACCAGACAGATATACAAGTCAGTTATAAATGTATCGTGTCAGCTGGGGAGGGGTTTAGAATGGGTAAAACACAGAGAGAAAGGCATCTTACATTTCCAGCACTGCAAAGAATGCAGTAAGTCACTGGACGTTTTCAAAAGTTTTATCTGGCTTATGTCCCATCTTTAGTACATCATCGAAATGAGTGTTGGCTGGCAAAGGGTTAGCCTTTAGGAAGGGAGAATCCAGGCCAGCAGCTTAAATTTAGAAGCGGTTAGGGAGCTGTTATCTACATTAATATCTCTCAGCAGTATGCCTACCAGTTTTCTGGGCTGTTTCAAACACAAATAACCCTCTCAATTGCTGCTATAATTTTCTTCTGTAATTCACTTGCATAAGGTCAGCACCTGTTCAGGTTTTGATGTGGTACCACTGTGGTCTATAAGAGCCAAAAGCATCAACACCCTCTGTCCATTTCAGTGATGAATGTAAAGATTAATGATGCCTCTCAATCTTTACTACATTTTATTATGTTGCGAAAACTACTTTATTACTAAGTGATTGCCTACAATATGGGAAAAATACCGTACTGAATCTTATATACAAAATCTGTGTTGCTTACTAGAAAGCTCAATGTTCCACTTGGATTTTGATTGAAAATAATGCATGCTGAGAAAACCTAGAGACTATTTATGTATCATAGAGGCTAGCAGATGGAAATGGCAGTATAAAGCAGAAGCAAAAGCCCTGAAGATGGTACAGTCTATTACAGCCAAGCAAGTCACTGATTTTAGGCTGTGGCCCTACAAAATTCTAGGTCCAGTTCTGCTACTACATATATCTGAAGACCTGAAGAAAATCAAGTCTGTCTGATTGTGCCTTTCCACTTTCACATTTCATCAGTCCTTAGACACTTATATGGTAACTCCCTGGGGGTTAATCTGCATTATGGCAAAGCAACAGCTAAAACCACATCAGAAAGTTTTATTTTTTATAGTTTAGGAACGAGTGTTCTGGCTAAAGATTTTGTTGTAATAATACAAGAGAAAGTGAAGAAAATAAAGGACATTTTATAACTTTCTATGCCATTGCATCTCATAGTAGAGAAATATGTTTAAGAATGTACCCCCTCAAAAAAAAGTGAATTAGTACAGTCCCATATTTTATAAAAATATGTTTTGGAAAATGTATACATTGTAGGCTATTTGTTAATAAAATGCATTATTGAATAATAAAATATAAATATAGTAACATAAATATAACCATATCAACATAAATCTAAAATAACGATAAAATGTTATTTAATGAACTATGAAACGTTCATATAAAGCTACTATGGTACAAATGTTTTTACAAACCAATTTTGTTTTGTGCACATGATGTCTAGAGAGAAGACTGAAATTCTGCTTTAAGGACAATAAATCGCTTAGAAACATACGTACATAACACTGTACTTATAGTATTTCTAGGACATCCTATAGTTTTTGTTTGTTTGTTTTGCTATGAGAACATTTCACATCATAAAAGAGAGTACTTTAAGTCACTGACCACTCAGATGGTTTTATACAAAGTCTAGAAGGCAACTTAGCACATCTTGCTTTAAATCTCCTTTGTTATGCAGTAATTCAGATGTGCTTCCTGCAAGAGGTCTCAAATTGCAGTTGATAGGACACACTCCACGTGCTGTCTGTACTTCACACCTGAGAACAGTTTGGTCAACACACTGAATCTCTGAGGAACACAATGTCAGCACCACCTCACTATATTGTGCTCATTAGGTAACTAACAGCCATGAGACACACATTGCATGGGACAGAGAACAAGCTGAGAAGCCTGCCTTGCTTTCTATGGCTTTGTGCCTTAACATAGTTTATTTAAAGTTTAGTTGCAAGCGGAGAATATGTTACTAGTGGGAAATTGTAGTGTTAGACCCATTTCTGGTCAAACAGTAAAAGCATCTCCTCAGATAGTAGGACACCTCCATCTGAAAGATGCACACTTTGATAGGGGCATGGTATCCATCTTCAGAAAATATGGGTTTACAAGACAATGTAATTTAGGAAGAGATGCAGATGAGTCAAAATGAAAATGTAAACAAACCTCGTTTAGGAGAAGGAAATCTTCAGGAACAAATTCCATTTTAAGGTCAACTCTCTATCTTTCTGTGGAAAAAAAAAAAAAGCCTCTAACGTAAGGGAATGCCAAACATTGGTACAGTTTTTCTTATTGAAAATGTTTTCTTCTCCAAACACTTCTAAGACTTCAAACCTCATGTAATGACATTAATGGATAAAAAAGATTCACCAGAAAATGCTGATTATTCTAATGTAATTCAAGTTTCTTTGGATGACATAAGCCTTTTAAGGTTGTTCTGAGCTACATACTTGTAATTCCTAATACCCCAGCAGGAGGAGTGAGAAGGTTAATGTATGCTCAAGTAATGTCAATTCACATTATGACTAATACAAGTAACCCACACAGAATAATTGTATTAACTGGAAAGTTCATTTTGTAATAGCCCTCAAGCAACTTCCTTGGGAAATTCAGACTAGCTAGTCACCTATATAAGAGCCATTATAAAAGGAAAATAACTTCTTAAATGGCCATGTAAGAAACAAAATTATAAGTCTTGTGGGAAGTGGACTGAATAAATTTAAAAGATGCTCTGAGAAATCTGACATTTTCAAAGGCAATTACATATGCTACACAGGTTTATTAAAATTGATTGTATATTCAAGAGCTGTATGCACCACCAAGATCAGCAACACAAAGGGAAGAGCTCCCTTTGAATATACTAACTCCTTAAGGAACTGTTTTGCTTCTTTCATCACTCACCATGGCACATTCTGTTCCTTTGTCTGTCTGCTTCTTCCTACAGAAAGAGTAGAAAGAACAAAAGAAATGAGAACGTATCATGCAGATGCATCATTTCTTGTTTCTTGGCCATACAGTCTCCTCTCTCTTTTGCCAATACTTTCAGGATAGCCATGCTCCTGTCCCCTTGAAAATTTGCCTTCAGAGGAAGGAAAATTTGCCTATTTTCCTTCCTCTTCCTTCTCTTTGGAAATGCCTGCCTTCTGGTTGTCCCTATTGTCTCTCCTTGAGCAAGACTGGCACCGCAGGTCCTAATGATGGCTACCTATGCACTACAGAAACATCTTTTGTGTCAATTCCATGGTAAGCTTATCAATACCCAGTAAAAGCAGCTGTATCAAAAGTTGGGCAAAGTGGCAAGCACAGTAGACTGTTGGACCTCTTGGAAACCTTAAGAAATGGTCTATAGGGAGAACAGCTGTTAGGCTCAGTCTAACTAGCAATCCTCACTGTTCTGAGTACCTCCACACCTTGAATACCATGTTCAGTTTTGGGATCCTCCCTACAAGAACATCGAGGCCCTGGAGCATGTCCAGGGAAGAACAATGAAGCTGGTGTGAGGACTAGAAAACAAGTCTTAAGGGAACAGCTGAGGGAAGTGGGGTTGTTTAGCCTAGAGAAGAGAAGGCTCAGGGGAGACCTTATTGCACTGTATAATTACCTTAAAGGAGGCTACAGCAAGGCGTGGATTGGGCTCTTCTCCCAAGCACCAAGTTTTAAGACAAGGGAAAATGGCCTCAGGCTGCACCAGGGGAGGTTTAGGTTGGATATTAGGAAAAATTTCTTTACTGAAAGAGTTTTGGGGCGTTGGAACAGGTTGCCCAGGGAAGTGGCTGAGTCACCATCTCTGAAGTCTTTGAGAAACATGTAGATGTAGGACTTAGTAGCATGGCTTATTGGTCGACTTCAGTACTAGGTTAAAGGTTGGACTAGATGATCTTAGAGGTCTTTTCCAACCTGAATTATTCTATTATCCTGTGATCATGTCACAGATAAAGCTTTCTCTGATACAACCTTAAATACTGGCCTGGCCACTGGTGTATTTATGGGACTGAACGTTCAATGGGCCTGCAGGCAGCTTCAAGTATTATTCCACACTAAAACATTTTCCAATGATTTTTGGAAACAGGTCTTCACCGTGGGCACAATAAAAATAACTTGTTAATGGACATACATTAAAAATAAGGTGTTATTTTAAAAAAAATCAGAAATATTAATATCTGATCTTAATAGTAACATTAAACTGAATTCTGCACCAATGAGCATCACCAGAAGGCACTGGCCAGAAGTGACATCAGCTTATTTCTTTGTTCTGGGCAACTTATAGATACATAATATTTGCAAAACTAATGATTCTTTACTTATACAAAACCCTAGTTTCCTCCAAATTAACTTTAAGACCTATGGAAAACTTCCATACCCACGTGAAAACAAAGAGTGAAGGCCACAGCTAAGGGAACACCCTTCCTAACACCACAACCTGAACAAAAGGTGACCCCCAAGCTTCAGCCATGCCAAAAACTCCAAACTGTAGTCTTCTCAGATAAATGAAATGTCCTGGAAGATAAACCTGAAGACACGAAGCCAAAACGACCAAGATAATTTCCCAATATTCAGACTACCTTCAGCCAGCAAATAGAATAGAAACCCTCATGCTTACAGTTTATAAAATTGCTTTGTGACTCGCACACCATGCACACACAAAGAAAACCATTCAAAAAGCAACACTAAAAATGAGATAAGGACAGGGAGACCACTCACCAATTATCAGCACAGGCAAAACAGACTCAGCATAGGGAGATCAATGTAATTTATTGCCTACTACTAACAGAGTAAAACATAGGTCCCTCCCAAGGGATGCCATCCTTCCCAAACTGATCCTGCAGGGGCTTCCCATAGGCAGCAGCCCTTCAAAAGCTCTTCAAGCTCTCCACAGGCCACAGGGGAACTTCTGCCCAGGTGCCTGGAGTATTCCTGCCCTCCTTCTGCACTGACCTGGTCTGCAGGGCTGGTTCTCACTCCTCTCTCTCCCAGCTGATACTGCCCAGCAGTTTTTTTTCCCTTTCTTAAATCTGCTCTCCCACAGGCACAACCAACATTGCTCATTGGCTCAGCTCTGGCTAGCTCTGGGTCCCTTTGGAGCCAGCTGGAGCTGGCTCTGATCTGACGTGAGGCAGCTGCTGGGCTCTGCTCACAGAGGCCACTCCTGCAGCCCTCCATTGCCAAACCCTTGCCACCAAAACCCAATACAAGACTATTAGAAAATGAATTTCCAGTTAATGCAAAGGTTCTGTCTTGGTGAATAGACAGGGAATGGTGGCAGCAAACAGACTTTCTTGCCTGCTTGGTTGTGCACAGTTCTGGTGTGCCAGAGATCAGGAGAGCGTCTTCTGACATTATTTAAATGATGTTTTAATATTGAGATTTATCAAAGAGGTGGAGTCGGGCTTTGTGGCTATATAACCATCCCCTCAGGTTTATGCATGGGGCACTGTCCCCTTCTAGAAAGCACTGAGAAATATTTTTCAGAAAACCCCAGGCTTTGACTGTTCAATGAAAAGCAAACATTGCTCTTTGATGCATATAGCTATAATACCCAATGTAATATATTATCCATACTTTGTCAGTGAGAACAGAAGAAAGATTAATATATTTGCATCTCTGCCCATTTTGCTGCCAGCTGAAAAGATGAGAATCATTTTTAAATATTTGTCGTCTGGTGGGAAGATTATTCAGCTCAAGAAATGCATCTGAATTTGATGAGCTTTCCTGGATATGTACATTGCACTGAAAATAGCTGCCCAGTGTTTTTTATAGCACAGCCACAGTAAATAATGACTGCAAGTAGGAAGGAAAACAGCATCACTAGAACACATAGCTCCGCTAACCCAGGAAAGGTCTGATGCTCTTCTCGCTCACCTATGGCAGAGTGCCTGGCTCATCTAGTTTCCTCTGCTGCCACATTTTCCTGCCTCACTTGAAATATTTTGTCAGTCTGTTAGCAACCAGTTGCTATTGAATGCTTTCATTCTCACATTTCTGCGCAATGGCCACCTGTCACAGCACAAATGAAAGCCTTCTAATTCCCCAGACCTGGCAATTAAAATTCTTAGCATTTATTGAACTATAGCTGTATGCACTTCTCAAACAATAGTAAGATGGGGATGTTTTATCTTGATGCAGTTGCCTGCAACTTTCCATCTCAATGGAAATGCTCAGTGGGTTCCTTTGTGATGTCTGACGTGTAATACCACACAATTACACACTCCACCCCCAAAGAGGAGGAGGGAAAATTTCATACTGGAAGTCAAAGGAGCAGCTTGGAGAGGTTAGGAGGTTCCTCTGGCAGCTGGAGCAACACAAGATTAGCATCTGCAGAGCATCAGCCAGGTTGTGGCCCTCCACTGCCAGTGGAGAGCTGCCTCAGCATGGTCCCCACTCCAGTAATCCATGATAGCCTGCATGGAGGAGATACAGAAGGGCTTTCTGCTGGGCCCCGTAGGCGAGCAGCCAGCATGCGTGTCAGACATGGCTGTGAAGGAATTTTTGGAGTATTCAGTCGGGGGCAATTGACTAGATATTCCTGGCTATCACAGAATCAGAGAGTGGCTGAGGTTGGAAAGGACATCTAAAGATCATCTAGTCCAACCCCCTGCTGAGCAGGATCACTTAGAGCACATTGTGCAGGATGGCATCCAGGTGGGTTTTGAGTATCTCCAGCAAAGGAGACTCCACAACCTCTCTTGGCAACCTGTTCCAGTGATCTGTCACCCCCACAGTAAAGAAGTGCCCTCTCATATTTAGCTGGAATATTAAAAATGACCTGGGAAAACAAGCAATAGTTATATGCCCTTTTCTTAGTGGACTTGCAGAAATAATATTTAACCTCTACTGTTTTTCATGCTTTTGTCCTTTTTCATGTCAGTGTTCTCACATTTCAAATAAAGGTCATTATGTCTAAGAATGTCTTTGCTCAAGACACAAGCAAGATATTTTAAACTAAAATCTACTGGCATCAGAGGAGAAAATTATTGTATCATGAGATACAAAGATGAGGGGAGAAATCCTGGCTGTCTTCTGGCAGTGATGAATCCAGCTAATGTGACACAGACACACACACAAAAAGCAAGAATGATACAGCAGCTTAGAAGAAGCAGAAAATGCAAAAGCATTTCTCCATAAAATGGGGGAATAATGCCTGTACTGTATCATTGCTGCAAAGAAATATGTAAAGATAACTCCTGTGAGGGCTCTCCATGGGCCGCGGCCACCTCCAGGTCACATCCACCTGCTCCCATGCTGCTCTGGCCTTGGGGGCTGCAGGGCTGTTTTTCTCCCATTTTATCACTCCTCCATCCCAGCTGCTGTTGCCCAGCAGTTTTCTTTCCCTTTCTTCATCCATTTTATTTTCATAGGGATTCCGAAGAATGAAAACCATCATAATGCAGTGAAGCGTTTGATTCAATGTCATGTATTAACAGGTGTCACATCTAAGAACAAAGCAATAAATACAGCCAAACTATGTGATTCACAGGCTTTAGTTTTATTAAAGTATCTGCTTGCTTGAAGTTAGATGTGTGCTGAAATGCTTTGTAATATAGCAGCTATGAATGAAACACATACTTTTCTTATCCAAAAGCCTAGAAATATTTCTGAAGTTTCTTACGAAGTTGCTTTTCCTCCTGAAATACTTTGGCAATTATACACTTTCCTAACCTGTCTCCCAGGCATTTGGGAGTGTTAAGTGGCTGTATTTCTTGTCTTTTAAAAATTATTATTATTAATATCCTTTAGAGCAGAATCTTAACTCTGAGGCTAAGCACAATACAGAGATTTGTTGCCAGCTCACTGACATGCTCACGCTGAGCAACCAGTTCTGCTGATGCTGACATGAACAAAAAATAATGTCCCCAGCTAACAGAAATATGATATATTATTTATTAGCTCACTGCTGCACGTATAGTGCAGGTTAATGTATTACTTTCACTTGTAAGTGCA